ATATTATATTATAATATATTATAATACATATTATATTATATTATAATATATTATAATACATATTATATTATATTATAATATATTATAATACATATTATATTATATTATAATATATTATATTATAATATATTATATTAATATAATATTATATATAATTATAATATACAATATAAACACAATATTATACAATTATAATATTAATATATATTTCATTAATATATTAATATAAAATCTAATATATTATATTATAATATGTGCAATACCCTGTCCAGACGAAATATCGAGCACGACCCAGCGTTAAACAATATTCCAATCACCGAAGAGTACTCGCGAAACCATCGCTAGTCCTATCTAAAATAGAGCTGCCTCGCGAGTGCTCGCTATCCAGCAAAAGATCTCGTTCGGAAAACGAGATTATATCCTTTTTAGCCGCTCGAAACGAAACGTCTGATATGTAAGATCTGAGATACACATTCATGGCGCTACAGTCTTTTGTGTTATACTTTTTTGTTTTTTTTTCTTTAACGTAGCTCTAGAGACAGTTCTGGCTTCTGTTTCCGCGCGCTTCTGTTTCGCGATCATCGCGAACGGCGAGATCCCGCAATTCATCGAGAGACGAGACCACCGCCGAAAACGACCGAGCAGCGAAAGCTTTCTTCTTTCTCGCGCATCCGTTTCTATTTTCGCCGTGTTCCAATGAGAACAGCCGGTCGCCGCCGTATCACCGTCGCTCTCTCTCTCTCTCTCTCTCTCTCTCTCTCTCTCGCCCGCCGCGGTTTCCGCGAATCTGTTTCCGAGTTTCACCATTTCCGATTTCCGGACCCCCGACCATGATCGTACCGTTTCACCTGTCACACGCGAACCTATCACTCTCGTTTAATACAAAAACTATCCCGCCTTTGTATTAGTTTTATCTTTTTTTGAACGTTTTCCGGTTTTTCTTTTTGTTTTCACTTAATTACGGTCTCACTCTTGTCGCTTAGCAAATAACGTGCACGGAGAGCGCGTCCCGAACAGTTGCACGATGGTTTTTTTCTTTTTTTTTCTTTTTTTTTTTCTTTTGGTTTTGTTAATATCTGCTCTTGTGAAATATCATTGTTATTTCGTAGATCTCTCTCTCTTTCTGTCTTTCTCTCTTTCTCTACGCGTTTCTTACTTTTGCTCGACGTCAAGTGTCCTAATGTCGTGTATCGTTTCGCAGCTCGCCGCTTTCCCGCTATTCGCGCTCGTTCGCCCGCCGCTAAATGCTACGCTCTTTTCCCGCAGTACGTACGCGCGCGTACAGCGTGCGTTTTTTTCTTCTTATTCCTCTCTCGTATGTACACGGTTCGGTTAGGATAACATTTACGGTTAGTAGTCGAGTGTGCCGCGCGCCGATCGTTCGTCAACATTAGCAGACAGTGGTTAATATAGTCGTCTATTAGTTAGCAGTGATAGCAAAGAGTCGCGGCTTCTTTTTCCGTGTCTCCCCAACCCCCCCACCCCCCTTCCCTGTTATCACGTTCTCGCGCTCGCGCGCTCCCCTGTGCGAGTAGCATGATCGCGCTCGCGTTCGTCGGCTTTCGCCAATTAGTAAGAATTATCTGTTTGCTGTCCGTCTGTCCTCGCACCATATGCTCTCTCTCTCTCGCTCTCTCTCTCTCGCCGTTCCTTGCCGTTTCTTTCTTATTTTTTTTTGTTAATTAATTACGCGTACACACCTTAGGCCCGAAACCGTCCTGGCAGATTAGTCCTAGACCGGTTTTATTCATCTCTCTCTCTCTCTCTCTCTCTCTCTCTCTCTCTCTCTTTGTGTATAGATTAAACTATAAAAACGTCGGTCATGCGGTCTACGAGTATTCTACCATTGTTTTTTGTTTTCTCTCTGGTATGCATTGTCGACCGATATTACGCTTAGATGATCGTTTTCGTCGCTATTACAATATCATCGTTATATCTCGTACTGATTTTTTTTCATTTAATTATTATTATTATACTTATAATGCACGCGCGTACACGTGTGCCCGTATCACGCGTTCCGCGGCGCGCAATCACGCGTGTACACGTGCACGCGCGTATATGTATATATTAGCTTTAGGATGACGTGAGGAGATGTAAAATAATGACAGAAAACTATCTCTCTTTTTCTCTCTCTCTCTCTCTCTCTCTCTCTCTCTCTTTCGCCCGTTCTCGCGTCTCGCTTTTTTTCTCTTACATGAAAAATAGGTACCTCTGTTTTCCACGCATCTGTGTAGGTGTATGTTTACATATGTATATGTATGAAACGCATGGCATAATATACGCCTCTATCTCTCTCTCTCCTTTACACACGGTTATTAGTTCTCTTTATATACATATATACATACATGTATACAGACACACACACATATCAGACGCGTTGTTTTTATATATATATATATATATATATACGTATACATATATATGTATATATGTATATGTACATGTATATGCATATGTACATGTATGCATAGTCGCGTACACACGCGAAGGTGGTGCGCGTTCTCAACTAGGAAACGAGAATGGCACGTTTCGTCTCGTCTTTTTCTTCTTTCTTTTTTGTTTTCTCCCGCCCCCCTCCCACCCCCCCTCACCCGTCACATCCGATGTATATCGGTAATATACGTGTGTCCGCGGTGAAAAGTGTACGGAGCGTGTATAAACGTCAAAGTAACGAGCAACGTTGCTATTTAGAAATTAGACTCTTACAGCGTTTGTTTCGTTAAAGAAGAGTATTATCGTTAACAGGCGTGACTCGTGTACCGCGTCGATCGTAACACTAGGGAGGGCCGCGGCTCCTGAACAGCGACGAGAGTTCGTTTCTGTTTCTGGAACGATAAATATTATTTCTTTTCCCACGCGATCGTTTCGTTTCGTCGTGCTTCAACGATCTTTTTACACTTCCGTCGTCCGATCTTTCTTTTCTACAGTCGCGCGGCGATTTTCCGCGGCATTTTTCTCGCGATTTTTCTCGCGATTTTTCTGCGACCGGACATGCGTGCAACTTCTTTTTCTCATTTAAGAACTTCGATCACTCGATATTGAGAATTTGTGCTGATCGGCGAATGCGATTAATATGTGGTTGGACGAGCGTTTCTTTTTAGCATTTCGTGTGCTAAGGGTGGCTATAGTTTACGCTTGGACTAAGGCACGAGGACTAATTAGCACTGATTAGTTGAATCGAACCTGTGAATTTTGCAAATTGTGCGACGTTAACGCTAGATTTACGAAACCCGTCGAAATGACGGGATTTTTTAATTTACGATTGTTCGTGTCGCAAGGATACGTTCATGAGTTATTTGTACAATTTATTTGAGTTGAGTTGTTCGCGGCAAATGTTGCGAAATAACACGCGTTCAAAATCAGAATAACTGTCTTATTGTTGCTTTTATAAACTGGTATAAAACAGCTGATTTTTTGGGCTCCGTAAATCTAATGTTAAAAAGATCCATTATCGAGCGTTGACGGGAACAATTTAGCAGCTCCGAGCAACTTTATTTTTATATCAAAGCATTGCGCGTTCGTTTAAAATTTCACGCTCCACGCGAGATTCTTCAATGTTTTACAAAGATATTGTCAAAAAGAGAGAACTGTGCTTTAAAAACGTAGAAGTGTGTACTTCACCGAGAACGATGAGAAATTAAGAGAAATTCATTATCTTACGCGAGCAATTGAGCAATTAATTGAGAAATTAATTACTTTACGCGAGCAATTAATTAATTAATTATTTTTCGGTTCGTTCGTTCACACGATCTTCCAGTAATCGGACAACCAAAAAAGTTCACGCCGTTTCTAGCTCTTGTCGCTCCTAAGCTCAATTAATTCAGAATCGGATCAAGTTATTCGATTATTATCTCAGATCACTGTTAGATCACTGTTCGCGGGATCAACGATTCTATAATGAAAAAAGCGTCGACGTCTACTTTTTTCCAGAAACAAAAACGCCTGTAAAAAGGGAATTGAAGAGTATTAAATCAAGGCCGACTACTTTTTGCACCCACTTCCGGTTCAAATGGCAGAAACTCTTTCGATTATCAAACACTCCGAATATCAATTTCGACCGAATTTATTTCTATCAATACTAATAATTTATTAACATTATATCTCAACAACCTTTCTCATTTCGCAGCTCATTTCGTTCGGTGTCCTCGCATCATCGAAACGATCAATCGCATGGTAGTGCAATTTTGTTTACTTCGAACCGTGGAAAATAAAATCTCACCCAGAAACAGAAATTTCGAACGCGACGCCAGATTTCACCGCACGCGGGATTCTTCTAGCTTCTACAACGGAGTATAGAAGACATAGCCGCGCTCCGTTTGCAATAAAAATCTCCGCGACGGAATGTCGCCTCTTACACGTAACAATTTCTTTTTCCCCCAGTCGCAGTGAAACGGGGAAATCCGTCGTAGTGCAACGCGGCTGTTCGGGAGCGGCCGGCCCCTAAAATATATTCTCGGGCCCAGCCACGGCTACTATTATACGTAGAAACATCGGAAGCTTTAACAGTCCACGTTAAACTTTCGAACACGCAAAGAATATCGCGCCGCTAGGGCGCGCGTCCAACAACTAGAAAAATAACACGTTTCTTTCTTTTTTTAACACGGTTTTGGTCGAATTCACACTTCGAACGTGATCGTCCGCCTCGAAAGTTGCCAGCCGATTTAGAAACTGATCAGAAGAAGCTCCGGGAAATCGTCGCGTGTTGTTCCATGTTGTTGTTGTTGTTATTGTTGTTATTGTTCATTGTTAATGGTTGTTGTTGTTATTATTATTATTGTTGTTCCTGTTGTCACTGTCCGTAAGTATCGGTGTTCCGTCGGTGAGTACAACCGTTTCGCACGCGTTTTACAGTTCAAACATTACAATAATATCCTCGCAACACGGTAACGTGACCACTATGCGCGAATAGTACTTTTTATTTTCTCGCGTGTCTCCGCGTAATATTTCTGTTTTCTTTTTTACACGTCGTTTCTCGCGTTACGTCTTAGTGACTGCCTAGGTTTATTTTATTTATTTATTTCTCCTCTTTATGCGGTAGTGGATGTAGTAATCATTGCAATGATAATCGTAACAATAATAACAATAATAATAATAATAATAATAATGATAATAATAGTAATAATAATGGTAATAATAATAATAATAATAATTTATTACATAATATTTATAGCTTTTTGTCTCTTATAGTACAATCGCGTCGTCTGTCGCCCCCAATAAAAAGGTACTTCCCCCGCGTTCCACTTAAACACGTACTTTTATTATTCTCTTTGTTATTATTTCTTATTTTCTCTTTTTTTTCTTTTTGTTTGCTTGTTTGTTTGTTTGTTTGTTTGTTTGTATGTACGTTTATTTGTTTGTTCATTCATTGACGTTTTAGTCCTGGCAGCCCAAAGAACTCTCAACAAGTTAACACAGCCTTTGGGCCTTCGATTAGACTTTTGTTTCAACTTTTTTTTTTGTTTCATTGTTTTGCTATAATAATAGTAGAACGACCTCATCATTCGCACCCTTGTGTGTGACCCAACCCCCTCCCCCCCGTAAACCCCCTGGAAATTCACCGTACCTTCTATGCTCCTTTCTTTTTCGCGTGGATTATTGGATCTCTCTCTCTCTCTCTCTCTCTCTCTCTTGTTTCGCGTTTCAGGACGGTCTTTCTAATCTCCACTATCTTCTCACAATTCTCTCTCTCTCTCTCTCGCTCTCTCTTTCTTTCCCTTTCTCTCTGTCTCGCTCGCGCACAACGTTTCCGCGTCACCTTGCACAGCTTGATCACCGAAGCTCCACACCGAAGCGATTGAACGCGCGTTCATAGAAAACTAAAACGAGGAGCTACACCGAAAGTAGCGAGTCTCCCGAAACCAAGTGGATTCCTCTTGTTTCGCCAAGTTCTGCACCCTCCCCGTGGCGCCCTCGCCCGCCATCTTCGCTCTCCTCGCCGTCTTCGCTGGCTCCCCATCGATCGCCTACAGCACGGGCATTAATCGTGTTACGAAGCTACGGTTAACGAACATAATAACGGAAATGATCCTCTGTCGTAACGAGTACGTTCTCCTCTACGGTTAGTGTTTCTTTATTCCTTAAATCAAGAGAAAAACAAACGAGAAACCCTCCTATACTCTTCGCGCTCTCGAAACGTGTTTCGCACTCTCTTTCTCGCACACGCACGCACGCATATACACACACGCACACATATTTTCTCTCTTTCTCTATCTTTCTCTCTCTCTCTCTCTCGCTCTCTTTCTTAGCCCTGCTTGCCGTTCGACGCCTCCGCGGACCAAAGTTCAAAGTGTAAAACCCGTCGACTCCCGTGGGATCACAAAGTGTCCGCGACGCATCGTTACACCCCGCGGTTCCGTTAATTAGGATTTATACGTAGTTAATACGCTCTAAAGATGATTCTAGGCCTGCTCTTCGTCGTCGTTAAGATCTTCGTCCGTCGTCGCGCCCTGCGTTTCTCGCTGGGTGCCGCATCGGCGCTCCGACCGATTTGATTTGCTCGATGAAGAGACTCGCGGCAGGAAACGGCTCCGTGTTCTCCAATCAGCGACACAGCCGCTCCTTGGATCGGGCTTCTCGTTCGATTCGTTCCAAAGGCGTCAGTTCCCTCGGCCCTGTCCCAGCCGACGTGTCGCGCGCCTTCAACGTTCCCTTCCCGCGTCCGACGCGCGGCTGGCTCGTCGTTAGTTCTCTGTCCTCCTGTTTCCCTTTTGTTATTGCTGTTCGAGAGCTCGAGCGCTGTGCGCCACCCTACGCTCCCACGTGTCCGAAAAATCCGAACTGTGCCGCCGTTGGAGAGCGCGTCGGGATTTTCTGTTTCTTTTTTTCTTTGTTGCTGTTGGTCGGCGCGGTTCCGCGCGCGGATTCTGGACCGAACGTGCCATCAGATTAATATAAGAAGGCGCTAGAAACCGATCGCTAGAGGACTACTGGCATGGCGTATATCTATTTATAGACTGCTTCTAGAGTAGCGTCCAGAATCCGTGGCCGGAACGGTGGCCGACGATCCCGTCGACAGTGGAGCGGCCACTGTCGCCCATGGAGCCGTTAGTATCTCTCCGTATGCTAGTAAAGCGAGTGTCGTCATTGATACGAGTCCTTGTGGAAAGTGTCGCTTTTGTGGAAGATCTTCCGTCCCTCCCTGGCGAAGTCCTGGCTCGCGAAATTGTTCTCAGACTTCGGTCTGGGCAACAGGCAAGCTGGAAGAGTTCTCAGCTCCATGCTGTGTACCTGCAACACGCGCCGCCCGTTAGAAATCGTTCCACGATTATTCTCGTTCGATGGACGAGAGCGAGATTGGTCTCGTTTGTCGAACGAATTCGAGATTCGGCTTCGAAATCGCTTTTAACGGTAGCGTCATTTCTTTTGGAGACGACAAATTTTTGAGTCGCAGTGAATTTAACCGTGCTGGTCCTACGCCTATGCGATTGTCCACGAAAATGGACAATTTGCGGAGAGGAGACACGATTATTCGAGCCTTCCGGCTCGTTTTTTTATAATTACCGATTGTCCGTAACTATAAAAACGAGCCGCGAGGCTTGAATAATCGTGTCTCCTCTTCCTAAATTGTCCATTTTCGCGGACAATCTGAGCGTCAACTAGAGAAACATTACCGTATACTGTTTATATTTTATATTTTTTCAGAAAATTTCGGAAATTCAGAAAATGCCGAATTCGACTTGCGATGGAGATTTTTAGTAATAACCTGTTAAGTATAATTGTTATATCCATCCGTTAGATTTCAATAAAATTTAATTACAAAATAAGTGCACGTTTCCTTTCTTATTTAAAAAAAAATTATTTCAGCACTTTAACCATCGCAGTTCTGAGTTATTTATTCAATTTACACGTTACTTACGGCAAATGTCACAAAACAACACTTGTTCAAAATCGGAATAAATGTCTTACTGTTACTTCGATAAACTAATATAAAACAACTGTTTTTTTTTTGCGTGCTCCATAAATCTAGCCTCAAGAAAACAGAGAAGTATCGATGCGACGAATTTCGCGAAGATGTTCGAACGCGATAAAAAAGATCGCGAGTCCGGCGTGAACACCGGGAAACGTGATCAACAATTACGCAAACAATGTTATCAAATATGTTTTACCGATTCTTCACTGGCGCTGGCGTGCGCAGCTTGTTCCGCGAGCGCATTTACTACGGCGTTTATCGTTTTTGATTCGCTGCCAAGATCCTCCTCGCGATGGGCAACCAGGTTTGGGTTCTTACCAATTTTGTTTAACCTACAAAGAGAGCATAATTAAGCGTAGGGAATGTAGCACGGAACACAACCAACGATTAATTCACATCAATTGACTTACAAACCGTTTAGCAGTACACAGGTTTACCCTAACCGAACATTATAATCCCGCCACGACTTGTAAACAGACTTGTATTATTTGTTCTAATACCACTTGCACCGCTAAAGGTTTTACAATGTGAGGTACAAGATCGGGTAAAAGAAAATCAGTAGCAATTGGTGCGCGTCCAGCGGAGTCACGTTGTCGATCGACGATCGATCAGAATCGCTCGCGGCGATCCTCTTCGATCCTCCGTCGAAATCGATCGAAATTCTCAAATTCGTCGATTGTCTTCGCGGTTGAAACGACGAAGATCGAGTGAAAAAAGGCAGCACGCGCCTCGTTCTCCGCGCGAAATGGAACGAAATCGCGCGGTTTTATTTTAACAATGTACCGCGTGTCGCGAATTCAAAGGCCCAATTGAAAAGATTTCGGCCCGCGTGAACGAAACGTGACTCCGCGTCGACGCCAGCAGAAGAGAATCCAACTAATTTGAAAAATATGTTATGCGAACTTATGAATATAACAATTACTATGTAGTGAATGTGTCGAGAGTGTAGATAAGATTTTGTCGCGATGTCGCACGGTTTTTTTCCCAATGAGTTCTCGTTAAATGTGTATAATAATAAGCCAGGGGGGCGCGCGGCACCGTCCATCGCGGCGGTGGCGCGTCCATGATTGAAATTTCGTGCCGGTGTGCGGTGGCCAAGAAAAAAAGTCAAGCATTTCGTCGGGAACCCTCTCAACTCATTTCGAACGTGTATCCGGTAGATACGCGTCCCGTTGTTCGCAAGTTAGTGCGCTCTCGTTGTAAAACTTTCTCCCCCAGAAACAGATTCTGCACTGTCACGCGCGATCAAGCAAACAATCACAGTATTTTCACAATTGTGACTGTTCTGTTTCGATCATTCAGTCCGTTCTTTTCTTTGTTTCCATCATAAATATATACAAATATATATTATACACAGGATGTCCCGAGAATGTCTCGTAATCCGGCACTGGAGGATTCCCGAGGCCATTTCAAGCAACTTTTTCCTTTACGAAAATGTTCTCCGAGGCGTCGTTAACGAGTTATTAACGAAAAACAGCGACCAACGGGAGGCGAGCACGGCCGGCGCTCCGCCCTCGCGGCCACTGCCGCGTCGCGCTGGCCATCTGCGCAGCGATAGTAGTCGCGAGGGCGGGGCGTCAGCCGCGCGCGATCTGTCACTGGTCGCCGTTTTTCGCCGATAACTCGTAAACGAAGCCGCGGATCGCATTTTCGCAAAGGAAAAAGTTGCTTCGAATGATCTCAGGAACCCACCGTTTCCATATCGCGAGACGTTTTCGGGACACCCCGTACACAGTTCAGCTGTATACGCGCCATAGTTTTGTGTTGTGTAAATGTGTATGTAAAAGAAGCAAATCGAGTCCAAATCAGCGCATACAGATAGAAAGACAGAGAAGATAATGAAATCAATATTGAATAATACATGTTAAAGAGAAGCGACATGATGTTCGGACAATAAGTATGATTGAAGTTCGACTTGTCGGACAGTACACAATGTTCAACAAAATCAACATGGAGGTGGGAGTGATGATTGACATCTAGTAGCACACCAACTCGATAGAACAAACCTAACCAAAGCTTATACCTCTCGGCGGCAACGCTTTCCATCGTTCTGCGCATTAGCGGATACTGGTCCAATACGGCGTTGAAATGATCCACCGAGAGGCTGAAGAGATTGCAGTAGGTCTCCGCGCGGACCGAGGCCACCCTCCTCGCGTTCGTCAGCAGGCAAATCTCGCCAAAATATGAGCCGTCTGACAGCGAGGTCGCTACTTCGCCGTTCGCCATTACGATATCGACTATGCCTTCCTGTATGAAGTACATTTTCGAGCCGATCGTACCTTCCTTGATGATGATATCACCTGAAACACGGGGACCACTCGAACGTCATTCGGTCTTCCGTTACAGAGAACCTTTTTCTCGAGCTGAACAAGGCGTCGAGCAAGCTTTCGGACGATCGGTTCGTTCGAGACGGTACGGCAGCATTGAAATTTCCTGTGAAAATGTGTGTCGGTGATTTTCAGTGTCTCGCGGGTAATTATTTACGATACGATTCTAAATAATTAATAATAATAAATCGGCCCTCTGATTTTGATTCAACTTAAATACAGCGACCCCTGTTAATATTCGAGCACTTTTTGATACGCAATTAGTTTTTTAGAACTGGGCTATACGACTTTTAAACTCTTTTAATTTTTACAATTTTTTTAAGTTTTGCTATTGCTTAGAATGACGAGAGAAAATAATAAACTTTCGGTTTTGAGCCTTTTTTATCTGCGCCCATAACGAAAATTTAAAAAATATATATTTAATTTAATTTATATATTTGACTCATAAGTTACTGATTTTCACAAAAATGATTATATTGGTGTCCTTATAGATCACAAATAAACAATGCATCGTTAATCTAATTCCAGATAAACCATTCATTATAGTTAATTCTTAGCTAATGTGTAACATAATGAGAACATGAAAAGCGAAACTTCTATTGCAAGATAAAGTGGAAATACAATGTTTGTGGGTCACGAATGACCCCAGTGTACCAGTCAAGGGTTAAGAAGCACTTGACACAAACCGTTCGTTTTAGCTAATCAATACTGCTGTACCTCTCTGAAACAATTGTTAATTCTATAATTATAAATATTATTTATGTTTCCACATCCTCAGTTCAGTCTTACCATCGCAAAATAAATTTTTACAGCGAGTGTACGACATGAGATTGTGCCCTATTCAAGTCCCTTTCGTTGCTGATTGTGAAACTTGATTAGCAGTAGAACTACCAAACCAATCAAAAGGACTCTGATTTTTTCTTTTACAATTTCTAATTTTCTAATATTCCTAATATTCCATTTATATGAAACTTTTAGACAAACTTCTTTATTCAAGCATACATTACAAGGTTTAAGTAAATCAAATATTCTAAATTGTTACAAAATAATATATATATATATATAATATTATATATATAATATTATATATGTTATATTATATATAATAATATATATATATATATTATATTAGATATAATAATAATCTATAATAATATATATTATATTAGATATATAATAATATATAATAATATATATAATATTAGATATATAATAATATATAATAATATATAATATATATAATAATAATTGTTACAAAATAGTCGCGATTAGGGCTTGGTAGTTCTAGCGTCAAAAAGAGTATCCCGATTCCTGTATACGACTCACGAACACAACGAATTACACTAAATTCTCTCTAATTTGCCTTGAACTTCTAAACAAAAATAAACAATTTAGGAAAAGAAGATACTATTATCCAAACTTCGTGGCTCGTTTCTACAGTCGCCGATTGTTAACAGCTAAGTAAAACGAGGCTCGTAAGGCTCGAATAATCGCATCTCCTCTTCCCAGATTGTCCATTCTCGTTTACAAGCTGACGGACAATTGTGGAGAATTTACTCTGCTTCTCAAACAAAAGCGCTTCGACCTAGAACATTATAACTCGAGATAGCTGATTGGTTCTAAAAAAGAAGCATTGAAATCCTAAATTCCCGATGAAAGTCTACGCGACAATGCCGACCAAAGCGTCGATCGCCCATGATTTAAAAAAAAAACAGGTCGCCACTGGTCCACGGCAATTGGGCTGCCGCGATTTGACATTCAAAGAGTCGAACGCTAAAAAGAGAAGATCACCGTGGAAGAACGGAGGATCAACGTAGGTGACTCACACGTTCGGAAGACCGCAGAGTTTTTATGCAGCCGCAATTTAGCTCACTTAAGAAACTGTTACATAGATCCATCCTCTGCCAGGAGTCCCTAATCAGATGCAATTAAACATAATGCCACGAATCGGGCTGTTCTCGTTGCGCGTCGAGATTATTCTTTCGGATTAGTCGGCTGACGTGTACCTGGTTGGAAGACTTCGTATCTCAGCTTAGTGACCACGTCTGAGACAAAGTTCGAATCGGCATTGGCGAAGAAGGGCACCGACGCGACCAACGATCTGCAATTGTAGTTGATCACGTCCTGAAAGCGACAGAAGAGAAGACAACGGTTAAAAGGGATCGGGTTCGTCCGAGACCGGACCCGGCCGGCCTGGCACTCTTCTGCGTCGTACTTCTCTGAGTTTCTCGGACAACTCTCCAAGAATCAATTCCTCGTCGAAGAATTTGCCCTGGTAACGGTGCTCGAAGTACTCCGTGATCCTCTGTCTCATTTCCCGTGGTAACTTCCGGTAGGCCATGTATTCCTCTACTTGTTTCACCTGGTTCGGGCAACAATGATTAATCGTAGCTCCTCGGCATTCTTATTATTATTATTGTAATATATTAGTAATAACTAATATTATTCATCTTAGGTCTTTGGGGCATTATTACTATTATTATTGTTATTATTGTAATATTTTAATAATTACTAATATTATTTATCCTAGCCTTTGAGGCATTATTATTATTATTATTATTGTAATATATTAGTAATAACTAATATTATTCATCTTAGGTCTTTGGGGCATTATTACTATTATTATTGTTATTATTGTAATATTTTAATAATTACTAATATTATTTATCCTAGCCTTTGAGGCATTATTATTATTATTGTAATATATTAGTAATTACTAATATTATTCATCCTAGGTCTTTGGAGCACTATTACTATTATTATTGTTATTATTGTAATATATTAATAATTACTAATATTATTTATCCTAGCCTTTGAGGCATTATTATTATTATTATTGTAATATATTAGTAATAACTAATATTATTCATC